TAAAGCTTTTTTAAGCCGGGCTACGAACCTTTTTCGGTAATACTTAAAAAGGAACTTTACGTAAACGGGTGTATGGTTATCGCCAATTTTTGCGTAAAAAAAAGCCTTGCTAACGTTAATTTGGTACGTTTCGAGGTTGAAATAAGCTATAATTGCTATTATAATTTTAAAGCTTTTGGTTGTAAGCGTAACAACGTAAGTTTTTTTTAAACCGTTGGGTTATTAATTACCTTTAATTACCGCGCGGGATTTATAATCCGTAACGTAGCCGTTTTCGTCGAATTTGTAAGTAAATACCCAAGCAATATCGATAGCCTTGCTACCAAGCAGGTTTTTCGGAATTTTTTTCCAAACTTTTTTTTTTAATAGCTCGTTAATTTTCCCAAAAGCAAATTGTTTAAATTCCTTTCCATACGGGTGCGTATTAAACTTTTGCCAGGATTTTGGAATTCGTTGTAATTTGTTTTGGTACAACCGCTTATTTTTTTAAGGGCTATTGCGTTTCGATATTTTCGTTACGGTAATTGCGATTATTTTATAAACCGGGCAATAGCCGAAATTACTTTTTTTAATCGCCGTTTATTAATTAAACAAATACGTATCGAAAAAAGCTCGCTAACTTTCGTTTATTAAGCTCGTTCCAAAAGCAACGTTTTTAATTTCCGGTTCGGGAGCATTAAACGCTATTGCTAAACCGTAATAAAAAATGGCGCTATTAAAGTTATTGCGTTATTTGCTTTCCCTTTTTCTTTTTTTTCTTTTTTTTTTTTTTGCGGCCGCACGCGTTGCGGCGCGGATCGCTTTAAACGTAATTATCGGCGAATTCGGTAAAAGCGCATTGGAAAAAAAGGCTTTAAGCGAAAGCGAAAGGCCCGTTTTTTTGCGAAATTAGCCTTTGCCCTTTTTAACCGGAGGAAAAAGGGAAAGCGGCGCTTTTTGCTCGTTTGGGTTTGCTTCGAACAAACTTTTAAAAGCTTTAAACGCTTTTGGTATCGCGATTAAGGGCGCTGCAAAAGTGCCGTTTGTAATTGCAATTGGCATATCCGGTTTTAAAGTAAGCAAGGACCGGTTTATTGCTTTATAGGGTAAAGCAAGCCTTAACGGTTTTAAAAGTCGTTTTTCGGGCTTATCGTTATTTTTACCCTTTACCGGCGGGAAGCTATTGCTTTTCCCGGGCCGTATAAAGCCGTAATACAAATTGCCCATACGTAAAAAGCCCGTATTACGCATTTGCTTTATTTTATGGCCATTTTTTAAAGCATTTAAAGTTAAAAATTTATGCGCGTTTGGATTTAGCCCGTTGGCCGAATCCTTTGCGGCTTTAGCTTTTATGGTTACGATAAAACCTGGCTTTTTTACCTTTAATTTTTAACCTTAATGCTTGGTAGCGAAAATGGGTGCTTAAAACTTTTCCGGTTAAAAAAGCCCTAGCGCATTAGCAATTTTTTTTCGGGTTGCAAACGGGTTTTCCGTTTCGTCGTACTTAACCAACAAATTATAAATAGCTACATCGATTGGGTTCTTTTTTTGCTTGCCTTTAAAAAAGCTTTTTTTATTAAATTTAACGTTTTTTGTAATTATTATTTTTTTTTTAACGGGACCCAAATCCGGTAAATGTTAAAAATTTAATAGCTTACCAAATATTTAACCCCGGTACGAAAATTAATTTTAAAATGCTTAAAATCCGCGTTATGGGACCTTTTTACGTTTAAAAGATAAATTTTGCACCCGTAAGCGTAAATGCCGTCCCAATCCGGTTTTAAATTGGTTGTTAAACCCGTAAAAAATTCCGGGGCGTAATGCCGAAACTACCCCCGAAACCAATTTAAAAGGATATCGTTAAAAACGCGCATGCTTTTCGACGGTAAAAAATTTATATTTTTTAACCAAACGGTAACGTAAACCGTTTCCGGCTATAAATGTTTAAAAAAATTTTAACGCTTTTTGCGC